CATTGTACAGTGGCATTAAGTGCCGTAATGTGCACCTCTGCCTACCCCTTCGGGGATAAAAGGCGTGATGTTATGTTATAAGATACCCATACTTTACAGACCAATTTAACCCCAATTTGTATAAGTTTTAATTGAATCTAATTCAATGGCTTTCAATCCTTTGTTTCACATACAAATAAAGGTAAGGTGGTACTCAATGACGTTAAGGATCAATCAGTAAATACTTGAGACCTTGTTCTTTTAGAAAAAAATCGTCGCATTAGACAGTAGTAACAGTTACAGTAGTAACTAGTAAGTCTTGAAATATCACGAAGCGCACAACAATTACGTATGAGCAAAATGTATTTGAAATTACAGACTTAATGATCTAAAAGTCACTAAAATCAATACCGAAGCCAGTCAGTCTTCAGTCATAACCCAGTAAATACATCAAATAGGCATTCATTGCTATAGAATATTAATCAATAGGTACATTCATCATAAAGTTACGCTTGCTAACATTTCAATGGAGATTCTGTTTTATTGAAAACTTCGCACGCGGCTTAATTTTGTAAAAGAGATTATCAATTAGCAGCGACAATTATTTCTATAGAACAAAATATTTCTATAAAATACACCATAATGGTCGAAATTGACGATAATTTCAAAATGTAGATTCCCGTAAAGAATAATAAGAATGACTCTTTTTATAAATGAATGAAAGGTTATAGTCGAATAGCAGTTTTGGTGCAAAAAATGTCAGCACTTAAGTTTCAATGCAATTTAATTCTTAAGTGATCTAACATAAATCGTCTTTTTCAGCGGTGTCTGTGTCAGTGGACGTCTGGACGTTAGTTGCGATATCTCTGGAGAGGTACTTCGCCATCTGTCGACCTCTAAAATCCAGAAAATGGCAGACACAGTGCCACGCCTACAAAATGATTGCCATGGTCTGGATCCTGTCCATCGTTCTAAATTCTCCAATCCTGATCGTCTCAGACCTTCAGCCTATGAGGGGCAATGGTAAGTTTATCTTGAATATTTTATCATTAGCTATCAAAGTATGTATAGTTCATGAAAATTCACAAATGTTCATGAAATGATCGCATGGATGGTGTTAAAAATATCATCTTGCTGGCTGTTATAAGTTATTTGTACCGTCATTAAAAAGGGTTAAATTCAAAACATTTAAAAAATCGACTTCTATTTTGTTCTGATTGATATGATGAAGCTAGATGATAATGCAAAAAGAAAATAATTATAAACTTCGTTACAAATGCTCGACATGTCGTGTGTGACGTGTTTGACAGTGAAGTCATAACTGTTAACGATTGTGGTTTGAAAATATCAAGTTTATATTGGTCAGTTATGACAGACCTTGCAACAGTTCTGTATCGTATCTAGAATACCCTTTAGTAGTCCGTTATCTAAAACTAAACTGTACATTCACAATTTCAATTACTGTAATAACTTCTGTAGTGATATTGGAAACAACATTAAAAGTCATTCCACAATGTTCTTCAAAACATTACATTATCTTCAAGTTTCTAAATAATTGAGAATTCGTTGTATTACGCTTGAATGTTTTCAAATCTAATTTCGTTTTCGGAAACCGCATAAGTGCAATCAATTTTCGTTGTAGAGCGTTTGGTTTCAACGAAGTTTCATGTACCTAACTTAAAATCTACACGTTTACTAAGCGTAACCACAGTTTTCTCATATAAATTTTGCCTGTACTCACTCATGTATGAAAATGTACTCTTTAGTAGAGACTTAAAGTTGATTCCAGTTCTATATTGGTTTCTATTTACCCTTGAATAAAATTAAGCTTCAAGAGGAAAAACACGATATTTTGTCACATACTTCACACAGTAAGAGCCTTAATTTGAAAAGGTTAAGCCTAAGTATTCAAGTATTGAACAATTTATGCAAGATTAAACCTAATTGGTTTCGTTAGCATTCGGATCCTAAGCGGTACTGCAATTTATTGGTAAGGATAATGGGTAAAAAATGAGAAACAAATTATTTTAAAAACTTTGCGTGTCTGAGGCCTTAGTACGAGTTTGTTTTACGTCCAAAGTAATCGTAACGAATTTCGTCGTCGGATGCTCTGATTGGCCGTCTCTAAAAACTCACCAATCAGAGCGCCATTGAGCTGATTACTAACGGAAAAGAACCGAAAAGAAACTCGTACTAAACCCTTTGGATAGAGAGCGACATAGATTACTTTATTCATTTCACAACACGGGTGACGCTGCGACTACAGATTAGTTAACATAGTTAATACAATAAATAAAACAGCTTTATATAAATTTTTACGTCTGAAGGTTAATTAGGAACATAATACCAGCCTGTCTGTGTCTCTTGCATCAAAAGAATAGCCGTAATTAGCTTAAAGACTAACGCTTTTCGTTTAGACAATTGACGAGCATTTTATGTATTTACGTAAATTTTACTATTGAACTTCGACATTCAGACTTTAAACTCTTTGAATAATTATAATTATATACATTTGTATTGAAGAGCTTTCAACTATCAGAACTGTAATGAGGCAAGGTAATTATAGTGTTTTGGGCCAGACAAATGACTATACTTAATTGAAAAGGTTTTGAATAAATTCCCAAAAGATTTTTCTTTAACGAGCTCCACACTACGATTTACTCCTGTGTCTTGGGTGCATTTACAAATATACAAAATGACACACATGACGTCCAGGCCCGAAACAACAATTACTGGATAACACAAAGAGTTGCTCCGTACGGAATGAAACCCGCTACACGTCGAACAACCACGTGCAGTCAGTCACTGTGCAGTCAAATAAAGTAAAAAAACCATGCCATAATTTATGTATTGGTTATATGTATGACTATAAATTTATACTATTTTGATTGAAATAAAATAAATAAATGACTGCCTCATTGGCCAAATGGTGCAATGGGTGACCTCTTCAATTCCCGAGTCGAGCAAAGTATTACTGGGTTTTTCAAACAATTCACAGTAGTTGCACGGAGTCTGGAATTGTGCCCGGTATATGGCAATAGGCTCACCCCCTATTACATGGGACTCATAACATAAATAGTGAAAAGTGGGTGTTACACTGTTTAGTGGCATAATGTGCACCTCTGCCTACCCCTTCGGGGATAATCGGCGTGATGTTATGTTATATAAAATCTTTATATATAACAGAAAGTCGTGTTAGTTACACTATTTATAACTCAAGAACGGCTATATCGATTTGGATGAAAATTGGTGAGGATGTAGCTTAGAACCAGGAGATGGACATAGGATACTTTTTACGCAATACTTATTTTTTACTTTTAACCGAAAATCAAGAACGGGTTCGGGAAATATCGGAATTGCGTGTACGAAGTCGCGGGCAGAAGCTAGTAAATAATAAATCAATGCTGACTGTTGATGAAGCGAAAGAGGTATGTAGGAATGGTAGTAATTGGCGTTCCATAGTCTTTGCCTACCCCCATGAGAGTCAGGCGTAAAGTTACCTATAAATGGCAAAATTAGTGTGTATATTTGTTACTCAGTCAAATCAAAACTAATGGTCTAGACTAGAGTAACATACTTTTTACCCCGGACACGCGCTGGAAGCCGCCGGCAGAAGCTAGTTTAACATGATTTACATTGTATCATCAACAACACTCAGAATTTGAATTTTGGTACCTATACTAATAAGATTAATTGTGTTCAAGCCCCAGGGCAGGGACGTTTACAGAAAGGAGCAAAACTAAGTAACTTTTGATGATTAAAATACCTTTTTGAAATACAATAACATGTGTTGTACTTGTGTTGTATTATGAACGTGTTCTTGTTTCGCCCTTTTTTGGTATGATAATGAAATGAGAGATTGTTGCGTAGAAAATCTTGAACGATTACTTTTAAATATTTTTGTTTGTACTAAGAAAATACAACATTATAAATGTACTACAGCTTGTAGTAAAATTTAAAGTTTTGAAACTTTTGAAAATTTTTTGGCTGCAAATCCACTAAGCTAAGCAAGACAATTTTAAAATCATTTAAACTACCTTCGACCAGGCTTTTATACCTCAAAATATTTGCATATAAGAATTTACAATAATTTGTATTTTGTTTCTTTTAGGCAACATTTTTATTTCCTTTTTAAGGTGTAAATATTTTAGTTATTTGCATTTTAATATTAATATTACTTTTGAGTAGGTATATGTATAAAGATTGATATTAAATAAACTACAATCTCTGCAACAATGAATTTGATTTATTATGAATAACATACAAATTCCACGATGTAACCATTGGATATACTTAGTCTTATATTAAATTAACCATACATCGACCGTTTATATTAATAATATTGGAGTAGTTGCATGCAGCATCAAGTTACAAAATCAATGTTTAAAACTTCATTTGAAACTTTTCCTGGAAAATTGTATGTGAACGGTTTTCAACTATTATGTTAACCTGTTCATGTCGTCTATTATAAGAGGCTTAGTGAATATTTACATATATATTATTTTCAACCGCTTGTAGAGCTAGTAAAGCGTAAGATCCTATTAGTACAGGGCTCCCAACATTTTCTTGATCAAAGACCACTTTTATTTATCATTCTAGTTAGGGTAAGGGCCACTATTAGTATTATTTTTTCTCATGATTATGTTCTGAGGCTTAAGATCTTCTCCAGAATCATGGGTTTCGTTCTTATTTATGACTTTTGCATAATAGGATTAAGTTGCTCTTCTCAGTTGTCTGCTTTAACATAAGTTTGATTTTAGCTTTTCAGCCAATCGCGAGATAAATCACAAACAAACATACACAACAACCTATACATATAAATACAGGTCAAAAAAGGAACCTACTTCTATATTTTTGAACTCAGTAAATAATTGAACGTCTTATAAATATACATTTCTATTCATGGTCCAACATTTTCCTCTGTCAAGAATCCATGATTCTATCCCACAGAGAAAAATTCTGAACACATTAATTCCCTAGCAAATGTCAAAATAAACTTTATAAACGACCGTAGCTTTTGCTTGTGTTGAATTGAAATATGGATGTCGTCGCACCTCCAAGGGACTCAGACTTTAGTATTTCATATTACGGTACCTATATCAATATCTACCAGATACCTCAACCTACGCGTTGCTTAGAAAAGATGTCACATTATTCAGAATTTTAAGACATGGAAAGTATGTGGCTGTCATTTATATTTTACTATTATGTAAATAACTATGACTGCCTTGTTGGCCGAGTGGTCGCAAGTGCGATTGCCGGGCAAGGGGTCTCTGGTTCGATGTCAAGGTCGGGCAAAGAATTACTGGATTTTTTTTAATTCTCAGTAGTAGCACGGAATTTGAAGTTGTGCCCGGTATATGGCAATAGGCTCACCCCCCTGTTACATGGTACCTACTCATAACATAAATAGTAAAGTGGGTGTTACATTACATTGTAGCGTCTTACGTTCCGTAATGTGCACCTCTGCCTACCCCTTCGGGGATAAAAGGCGTGATGTTAAGTTATTAAATACCTAAATTCTCTGCTAAATATTGTTTTTCGAAAGAATACGTGTTGGAAATGTCTGTTTGTAATAATGAAATAACCGCTTTTTACTAGGTATATGCATAATTATGAATGAACATAGGATACATAATTATATTAAAATAACACTTCCACTCTCTGCAACGGCTGGACCCATTTTGACGGGAGTTTTACTGGCAGGTAGCTGATGTACTAAAACAAATTCGCGCATCTAATATATAAATTACATTGAAGTTGCATATACATACATCGCAGAATAATAAAATTGTTTGTTAGATTTTAATTTATGTCAGAAATATGAGCGAGCGAGAAGCACCTACAGCTATAAATTTTGTTAATTTCATAGTAAGTGCTGTTTCACACGAGTGCAATTAAATTTCAAATTAATTTCCAGTACCGAAGGGATATTTTGTAGAAGACTGAAGTATCATGTATATTATAATCATTTTGACGTTAATTATCTTGAGGCTTAAGAAGAAACTATGGTTAAAATCGTC